TACTGGATTCCAATTTCCAACCTTCAGCTGCGTTTTTAAGGTAAAATCAGGAAATATCTGCAGATAATGATATGTCCAAGACTGTGTTTTATGGCCGGAACATCAAGGCTCCCGGGCAGAGCGTTGACGATGCCAAAGTAGACCTCCTTAAAAACATTCCCACACCAACACTGAGTTTGGAATATGGATAAATGCCATAGATACAGAGAGAAAAATGGTTGAATTTTAGTATAAGAGTATGCCTTGTTACTTGAAAATTATCTGACAATGCTAACTTTAGCTTAAAAGTCAGGAAATATCTGCCATTTTGAACATGTTTTTGGCTGAATTGAACCACATTTTCTCCTTTCCAGTCTGATCTTGTCACACAATTGGTACAGTGTTTCATTTACAATGCAACCTGATTGCATTTGCATGATTTTCTTGAAGTTTCTGCAAAAAATTGTCATTAATCATGCAGAAATCACAAGAATAAGGCCTTACTTGCAAAGATTTGAACTGGGAGTGTTGAGGCTCCCGGTTTTGGGAGCCTCCACATCTGGTCTCTGATGGGTTAAGGGAACTATTTTAGCCCGTGGGTTGTTCTGGAAAGCAAGATTAAACCCAACTCACTCACTCACAAACCTGTGGTTATTTTTCCTACTCGTAACAAGCACTCTGAAATAAAACGAATGTCATTAAGTCCAGACCAGGGACCATATATAAATGATCTCTGGCCAGACCAGTTTAATTTCTTATTTATGAAACCTCCTGTCATATGTTAACAACACCACACAGACAAAAGAAAAATCTGTCCTAATATATAACCCTGCACACATAAAGTAATATGTCAAATATAACAATTGTGATGTTATTCAGGCATGAAAAAAACTCCCCCACACCACACCCACCCTTAAAAAAGGGAGGAAAGGATTATGGTATACATAATGGGAACTTGTGTAGTATTATCAATGTTCATGTGTCGCTGTCTTATATGACATATTCTTCAGAGCTGTTGCCTGCCATGATGTAAGATGTTCCTTATCAAAACCTAAGAATCTCCAATATGACTTCCATCTTCTAAATGAAAATATCACGTTTTAGGTAGTCACTTCTAATTTTGGACTTCTTAATCATGCATTAGTTACCCAATTTTCAGCCACTCACTTGGCCTTTAATACTGTTACTTGAGTATGAAGTAAACTGAAGTAACAGTATTTAAGGTGTAGTTAAGTCAGGGCTTTTGAAGGAGGCCCTCCTAAAGAGCAGGGTGGAGTTCTAATGTTGTGTTTATTACCCGGGTACCCACTCTAGGTCTCAGGAGATGTCTCAAAATGTCCGATTGGGATATTTTTTAGTATAGGTACCCGAGTTACCCGTCCCAGCCCTGGTATTTATGTAACAGTAACCAACAGAATGCCTTACTTTCCTGTTGGATTACTGTCAGTCAACAATCTTACCATATGCAGTTACATCACAGATACCGCCATGCTCAGTGATTATAATCCTCAGTAATGAGCCACCCAACTGTGCAACTCATCTCTTTTATGAACAATAGAAAGAAAGATATGCCAAAATATTCTTTGCTAGTCAAACTATCAGTCAAGCAAAATGGGAGGTCCAGCGAGCAGGTGTTCAGAAAGCCCTGAGTTGACTTGGCCCTTAGCTGAAAACTCTGAAAGGAATTGGCAAAACTAATTTTGTTCTATATTTGTGAAGTTACTGTTATAGTTTTCTAACATTCCTGTTTCAGTTTTCTTTGCATGTTTTACAGTAATATACATGTACCTATTTCCTTACATTAACTTATCCTGGTATCCTAAGACTATAAAAATTCTTATTTACATTTTATATTTTTAGAAATCATCATGCCTCCAGCAGCCTTAGGACAGACTTTGTATGAAGCCATTGAACTACTTCTCAGTGGAACAAATGTACCAGTTAAAGAAAGAACTCAGCTACAGATAGTAGCATACAAAAAGATCAGCCTGTATAAACTTGAGTTGAAGATGATTCAAAACCCTGCATCTGGGAAGCAGGAAAAGAGGATTGTAACGAAAAGCAAAATAGTTGCCAAAAGGAGTGAAATTAAACACATCATAAGAAGTTTCAGCAAGGAAACAAAAGGTGCTGGCTCAAAACGATTGTATAATATCATATCAAAGTACTTTCATGGCATAAGGAGATCACAAATTCTTGACTGGCTAAAGGAGAGTAAAACTATGACAAAGCTCCGGCCACAATTTTCAAATATAGCACCAATGAAACCAGTGTATTCCAATGCTCCCATGGAGAGACACCAGATTGACATTGTGGACCTGTCTGCAGTAGCAGAAGAAAAAGACGGGAAAACATACAAATATGTGCTTTCGATTTTGGATAACTTTTCCAGATTTCTGTGGCTTGTCCCAATAACAGATAAGTCTTCAGAAACTGTAGCAAAATCGTTGACTGAAATTTATTTAGACCATCAGTGGGGCACCCCTAAAATCATCCAAACAGATCAAGGGGGTGAATTTAAAGGCATGGTGAAGACCCTCTGTGGCAGACTTGGCGTGCGACTCATCCATTCGAGGGCCTATCATCCCCAATCCCAAGGAAAGGTATGTTTAGCACACCTGATAAAGGGGCTACTTATAGTATTTGCACTGTTTTGTCAGCTGCTGCAAACTGTCTTGGCTATTAGTTTGTTGCAAAGATCCTTTCGACTCATATTGCAGGCATAGTACCTGCCTTTTTTAATCGGGTCATCATGAAGGTCAAATGTCGAAGTATGTTCAGGTTCAGATTCATGAGTATTAAGCATAATCACTACACTGCTAAATGGCAACATACTTTTCATCAGTAAGGACTTTCTTTCTTAGTATTGTTGTATGGTATTGTAGCTGTTGGGACAAACATAGAATGATGGGACAAACATATGCAGACGTGCCTAATCTACCAGTTTCCCATTTTACATCCAGTGTATTTGTTTGCTGGCCTGGGGATTATGTATTCCACATATGCAATCAGTGTTATCAATTTTAGGGACTAAATAAGCAATTTCAAACAGATTTTGTGTCTTTACTCCATTTATCTTGCCCTTTATGTTTGGATTCAATATATTTATATAACATTCTTTTCTTTTGAAAACACATTACTTTATCTACTACTTACCAGTAAAACATCCCGTCAAATACTAGCCAGAACATGAAAACCCCTACTTACATAAGATATTATTTGCTTGGACTGGGAAAATAATCTGCCTGTTTGGGGTGATCAAGAGTTTGCAAGTATGCATTTGACAATAGGTTATTCACATTTTTGTTTGTAATTTAATGATCTCTTGAATATTCTGACTCTTTTTACTAACACTTCCAGAGTGAGCGGTCACACAGATCATGGAAGGATTGTCTCCGTTATGACATGCAGAATCTTGGTGATGTTTCCTGGGTGCACTCACTGCCAGACTATTGTCGGATTCACAATGAATCTCTCAATACATCACTTGGTGAGCATTTAAATCATGTAAATATGTTGAACAAACTGAGTTTTTGTTTATGTACATTCAAATTGTACATGAAGATATTTCATAAAGATTGTCGATTTATCAATTTAATGATGTTGCAGTGTTACATGCTAGCTTTTAATAGCATGACTTTGACATGTTCATTAAACTTGCTTTAGAACAATGGAATATGCAAAAACTTTGCCAAAGAACAATTCATATCTGTGAAAACATCGTACTAGCATATATGTTAAAGAATCATGAATATTAGCACAATATTCCTGAACTAATGAAACTTATTTTTGGTCAGGTGTATGTCCATATAAAGCGATGTTTGGCTTTGAACCCCATCGCTTGACAAGACTGTTGAAGGCTGGTGGTGATGGTGTTGAAGACTGCGAGGTGGAAGAGGTTGAAGAACAGGAACAGATGGAAGTAAGAACTGTGTACTTAAAACTAAAATGAATTTTCTTAAATCCAGAATCCTCCATAAAATGCTGACATGCTTACAGTATCAGGAAAAATGTGTCTGCCAAAATCAAAATTATTATATTTAACTTGAATGACAGGAACCACTTTTGCTCTCTCTTTTTTTGCCTTCAGAACACAAAAAGTCAGATGTAAGTGTTAAAAATACCAGGAAGTCCCAACATTGTGAAGTTATGAACTTCAGAAGTGACCAAGAGACGTTTACTTAAGCCGGGAAAGTAAAACAATCCTATAATGCATAATTCAGTTAAGTCATAAGAAAGACTAAACATTTTTAAAGTAATTGAAGTTAATAAATACAAGTTTGTTTGTAAAAGGAATACTAATATATCATAATAGATATGTTACGTACCTTGTGGTTATTTATTCTCAGCCAAAAAAGATTTTCAGTTTTCATCTTTAAAAAGTATTAACATTTCAAATGTTGACCAGTGAACAGAGATTTTCAATACATATACATTTGTTTCTGATAGGTCATATCTTCATATTGCATATGTAACAGTTGTTAAACAAACTGAGATAAGTTTAAATTTTTTGCTTAAAGTGACCATCAGAATAATACCATTTCTTTGTCAAAAATGTACTTTTAGTATCAAGTGACAAGACAATGGTTAGCAATATGCATACCCATAGCTAACTCATTTCAGATTTAAATTATCATAAGTATTATAGTAACATTTGTGAAGTCATAGAATGATGCATTGTGGGAAAGTGCTGTATTAGAAGTGTTTGAAATCGGAAATTACATTCCCTCAATTTACCAAACATTGAACATTGACATTTTCATTGTTGAGTGGAATATTTTTTCACAATCTTTACACCATGACAGGACTATTTGTGATGATGGTATTATATTATCAAACACAAGCACTAACAAGAAGTGAAAAGCAAAAGTTTAGGTTGTCACTACTTTATTATAATAATTGATACTGATATATATAATTTGCAGGCTAGCAATGAAGATGTGACAGTATCAAAAGATGTGTGTGCACGCTTGAAAGAACATAGGAATATCAGGAAAGACATCTGCAACAAATCGGATAAAACTTCAAGAAAGATGGTTGAGAAAGGCATGAAGAGGAAACCTTTGGTTGACTATGAAGTCGGCGAGATTGTGCTAGTTCGCCACAAGGGTCTGGGAAAGGGCGTGAAAAGAGGTGGGAGAAAAATAACTTCACCAAAAGCAAAGGAGGGAACTATTCTCAAAATCAACAGTAAAACCCATACATTTAACATTAAAATTGGAAAAGCTGTGTCTTGGCACAAATTGGAGGACATAACCTCATTGACTCAATCCAAGGAAGACAAGAGGTCTAAGAAAAGAGACAGGAGTCAAAGCCCTCGTCAAAGCCCTCGTCGAAGCCCTCGTCAAAGCCCTCGTCGAAGCCCTCGTCGAAGCCCTCGTCAAACCCCTCATCAAACCCCTCGTCAAAGTAGGTTTTATTTCATTTTAATACTCATAATAGCAGAACAACAAACCCCATGCATCATTTCAATAAATTCCCAAATTTTAGTCACTCTGACAATCCAAAAGGTATTTCTTTCCAGTTCATTCTCACAAAGGTGAAATCTTTAGGCTTGTAAAAACAAAACTTCCCTTATGCATGTCGCCTTCCTGAGAATGTCTCCAGTAACAGAAACAATGGAAGGTGACGATGTGTTCACATCATGTTGGATAATTTACTATTATTGTTGTGTTTTTGAAATATCTTGTTAAAAAAATTAAGGAAGGCAGATGTTGGTTTGACATATATGTAGCATGACTTCAAAACTATACACAAATACACCATACAACAGGAGGTAAACTAAAAAAACGTTTTTGTTGCAGGTGTAAAGAAGACATTTACACCTGCCTTTACTTCAGATGTGTGTTCAAGTGAAGGTAATACTTTACTGTCTGATTTTATTAGGGCATAATAATCAGTCAATTTAACTCACAAAGATGCCCTTTATACTATTTGTGCAACGACTTATAACCTCAGTTATGTGATATGATGTTAATTTTAGCCAGCACACTGGACTGAATGCCGTTATGATGATTGGGTAACAAATCCTTCTCAGAAAAAATATAAGAAGGGAAGGTTAGGACTTCATAGAGCAATTTATATTCTTTATTACTGTTATTATTATTGCCCATCATTATTTTGAAGTAGAAAATTGAGAAGAAATGAATGAAGTATATAGTTTTTAAAGAGATGTACATTGGTCTGGTATTACATGATGTCAACTTTGATCGAATAACAATAAGAGCTGAATAGCATGAAAGTGTATACCATGTAAATACCCTCTAAGTGCAACAATTTGCCATTAACTGACCTGATGATATCAATTGTAAAGCATGCTATGATGGTGAGTGGTATTTAAAGCAGGACTAAGTAAACATGCAAAGTTAACTACTGGGGTATCATGTGTCATGTACTTCGAGCGTAACCCTTCATGGTTTTGAATTTGACACTATATAGGTTTATAAGGAACTTAAACCAGTCTTTCTCTTTCAGCTGAATTTATCGAAATTCTAGAAAAGCTGAAAAGATTCAGCAGTTCCCGAGCTACACCAAATAGTTTGGAAAAACTGGAAGAGATGGCTGGCAAGAGAGGTTATGCTGTTAGACATAACTTAGGAGGTGGTGACTGCATGTTTCTTGCACTCAGCCAACAGATTTATCATCAGCTGGATTTAGAGGTCAATGCCCTTGAAGTCAGGGACATGGTGGTTGACCATCTGCAGAAAAACCCCCGAACGGTAAGTATGGTAGATGCAATAATGACATGAAGGGAAAACAGCAGATTTAGTCCTTATTAATTCCACTGTTATAGCTATTATATTATAACGACTTATACTGATAATTTTGTATAGGGCATTAATATGACTTACTCTTGAGGTTTATACTATTCTAAAGTACCAGAAAAACATGTTTAGCATATATCTTGACATTATTTTGTAAACTGTAAAGAGTTACAAGCTAGACCAGTTTAGTTGATGCCCAGATCTTGATCAATATTGTGTAATCTTGAAGAAAAAGCAAAAATGGGTTTGGTAATGATAAACTTAAATTGAAAGACAATAACCATGACTTTATTCCAAAGACTTTGAGGTCCTACTACTATTTTTTTTCTACCATGATGTGTGCATATGCAGTTAAGTTCTTATCTTTTGTTAGGTTAACATGGTTAATTGAATATTAATTCTGGCCTGTATAAAAAAAATAATTTGACTGGTGGGATAGGCAATTTAATGTAAATAAAGTATGTATTTCAGATTGATGGTACACATCTGAGGAACTTTGTTCCGGAAAAAAAGGAGTGGAACACATATTTGGACGAGATGCTGCAGAAAGGGACATGGGGAGACAATCTCATGCTGATGGGAGCGGCAGACGTCCTAGAAGTCACGATTAAAGTCATTAGCACATGGTCAGATGAGCCCATAGTCATCAAACCCAGGGAAAAAAAGGCCAGCCTCAGAACACTATGTCTAGGTCATCTGGCAGAGTTCCACTATGTCAGCTTGGAAAAAAAAGGTACCCTAGCGTTGAGAATTCTTGTAAGCAGTGAGTGCAAACTATTAAGAGTTAAGTGATAACTGCTATCATCATCTATATTTCCCTTTGCTTATAGTCGTATCATGTAGATAGATCACACATCTCTGCCCTTGAATCAATATCTGTATCTTAGACTAGTTTAAACTATTCCATATAATCTGGGTCCTCAGTGTGTCCCGTCATATAATTTCAAAACCTAATGTAGATACTCCGTTCATGGGTTAAAGTAGTGTGAAAGTGAACGTGATTAATAATATTATTACTGTAGTAGATTTTACATAAAATGAGGCTAAGTTCCTCAGATTTATTCCAGTATCTCCCAATTTGAGATCAAGCACCCGCAGCATTGCTTTAATGTAAGTCAGCAAAATAATAAATATGTAGTGTTGTTTCATATTTTTTCCTTCAAATAATCTTTCTATTCTTCAGACCAGAAGTGCAGAACTTGCCACCAAACGCTAAGTGTCTGCAGATGTGCTGTAAGCATTAATGGTAAGAGAATGTAAATGTTTCTTTAACGTCACAGAAATGCTAGTGACAACTTTTCAACCTACTGTGTCACAGGCATGGGCTGGAACTTCTCATTTGGGCATATGTGGGAGGCAATTAAAGCAGGCAAATTTGTTTCCTTGTATTGTGCGCTAAATATATATAAAATCACTATCAATAAAAATAGATATGTAATTTGAATTTTTACTTCTAATTGATTTTCCTTTCTTATGAAAACTAATTAATAGTTAAATGAAGTTTAAGTAACATGAACTTTAAGTAACATCTGAAAAGACTTAATGTTTTCTTGTTCGTTAAATTGCAATGGAGATAATTCAGTGTTGTTTATTTTAACTCTGTTTTTGTTATTAATTGTTTCATGTTTTCAGTAATGTACTTTTGTGAACATCTATTGAATGTGTTAATTGTACGTAAGTGTAATTTTTCCCACAGCTGACGCTTCTGACAATGATGACAGCTGTAGGTCACCCAGTCTATCAAGTGGAGATGAATCAGACAATGATGGTGTGTGTTTACTCCTAATAAAACAAAGTCTCATTCTTAACACAAGATTCTTTTGTGTCACAATCATTTCCATCCATAATTATACCCCCGTTTACGAAGTAAATCGGGGGTATATAGCGTTCCGTTCGTCCGTCCTTCCTTCTGTCCGAGCTTTTGTACGGCCCATAACTTTTTAACCATGCACCCTAGCTTCACCAAACTTGCTACACACATTTACCACAATGAGTGCTTGTGCCTTTGGCTAGTTTGAAGATTCTGATTTTTTTATTTTTGCTGTTTCCATGGAATCATGGTGAAACATATATTTTGGGTAGAGTTTTTGTACAATCCATTTTTACAATATTATGTATCCTAGCTTCAAACTTGCTATATTAACCACTATGATTGTTTTTTATCTTTTATAAGATTCTAAAAGTTTTCTATTTTGCTGTTTTCATGGAAACATGATGGAATTTAGAAATTTTGATGTCTGGTTTTGTATAGCTAATATATTTTCCAAAATTGTTTCCACTCATGTAGATCATCATAAGTATCTGTGCTTTGTGTTAGTTTGAATTTATGAATTCTTTACCATATTTGTAAAGGCTAGATGGAAATTATAAATTTATTGATTTTCTTATATGATACTGTTCCATTTTTTATGTGTTTTTATATCAACAATTTTTGGTCCTTTTGATAAATCTTCTTATGTAACTCCTCATTCAAATTTTTATTCAAAGGTGTTCATGGTGATCTACTTCCTCGTAGTGAACACTGGTAACATGGGAGATTTTGGGGGGGTCAATTGTCACTGGAACTCAATCTTAGTTTTTAAAACATTGAAGTTAAAATCAGTTAGAAATATGTAATATTTCATTAATTAACAAACTATTTACTATTTGTTGTTGACCAGCGGGGATAACGGGGGTATGTGAGCTTTGCTCACTTCTTTCTTGTTATGAAATTGATATCTCTGCTGTACAAATTAAGAACCATGATTTTCATGATTAACTTCTAATGTAGAATTTCAAATCTTTATAATACTATTGTATTGTCACCTTTGATGCTTTTTCATTTAATACAAGAGGACATACTGGGCATCAACACATGTTTTTGTTTCACATTGACCTGACATTTGTCCTTGCCCTTACCCACAAATTATCAATACGGATTAATCATGTTAATACTAAAATTACTTTAATTTACTATTCAGGTTCCCCTCGAGTCACAGCTGATTTCTTTGAAAACAAGGTGAGATATTACTACACATGTATCTGCAGAAACCATAGTACATCTAGCTGCAAGAACCATAGGACATTTAGCTGCCAAAACCATAGTACATCTAGCTGCAGAAACCATAGTACATCTAGCTGCAAAAAACATTGTACATCTAGCTGCAGAAACCATAGTACATCTAGCTGCAAAAAACATTGTACATCTAGCTGCAGAAACCATAGTACATCTAGCTGCAGAAACCATAGTACATCTAGCTGCAAAAAACATTGTACATCTAGCTGCAAAAAACATTGTACATCTAGCTGCAAAAAACATTGTACATCTAGCTAGAAAAAAAAATAGTACATCTAGCTGCAAAAACCATAGTACATCTAGCTGCAAAAAACATTGTACATCTAGCTGCAAAAAACATTGTACATCTAGCTGCAAAAAACATTGTACATCTAGCTGCAAAAACCATAGTACATCTAGCTGCAAAAAACATAGTACATCTAGCTGCGGAAACCATATACCAGCTGTACATATTGGGGTAGTAATTATAGGGTGCAACATCACAGAGTTATGGTTTCTGCAGCCAGACTACATCTTATGCTTAAACTTAATTATACATATCTCTGACATTAATTATGTTTGATTTGTCATAACACTATCCAGAATTCCCAACTACACTCAGCTGCCAGCTAGACTTTCTTAATGAGTTCAACTCAGATCCCCCTGTTTCCTACCCTGCAGTACCTTGTCTTTGCTATCATGGACAGGCTGAGGGACTAGTTGTTGTTTTAGTTTTAGGACTTTATAAATTTTGATTTTTTTTAGTTTCCATGGCAACAAGTTGGACTTAGCATTAATATGAGGGTAGGGTTGGTTCGCAGAGTGTAACTGAAAAAACGTTCAATACTTTCTAACAAAACTTCTGAAATGGTGCCTTTTAATATTTAGAAATTTTTGAATGTTTTATTTTTTTAACATTTTTATGGCAACAAGTTGGACTTCTATGAGGGTAGGGTTCATTTCCAGAAAATAACTGCTAAACCATGTAGTATTTTGAATCAAACACATGCTGAACTGGTGCCTTTTGCTGTTCAACAATTTTAGAACGTTTTATTTTAAGGTTTTCATGGCAGCTATTTGAACTTGGGCTTAAAGAAATGTTGGGTTAGTTTACCTGGTTTCGGACCATTACATTTTAAGGTTGGCAGGGAATATAGATGACTTCGTCGACTATATGCTTGTTGAAATTGAAACTGTTAAAGCGGAAACTGTCTAATGAATTGACTGTTTGAATTTTCTTCACAGAAACCAGAAGTTTGCTGTTACATTAAGAGCCTTTTACAGGGAAGGTTCAGTTAATATACTCTATAAAGTACATGGCCATGGAAAATGATCTGAAGTCCTAAACATGCACATCACATCTAGCCAAAATAAACCAATTCAATGTATGTATCCTTTCCTTTTATATAACACTGTTGTTGATATTCCTGTACATCAGATATGAATATGGAAATTATTTATTGAAAGTTAACAGTCACATATACACCAATATCACACAACAGAGTCAATATAAAATGAATGTGGCATTCTTGAGGCACTTTTTTCTTTACAGTGAGGACAAAGAAGGACGTGGTGAGAGACACAACTGGTTTGTTACCAAGTATCCCTACCATGAAGTCAAGGCTGGATTTGGGTCAGATTTTGTGTCTGCTGAAGTAAGAAAATGAATTCATATGTAAAGCTAAATTTCATTAAAGTATGAGAATGATAATGTTCACAATTAATTCCTAAGTCCACAATTTAGTAGAGAAAATTTCCAAAATTTCATCGTTGAAAAAATTCCAATCCCATGACTGTAACAATTCTTATGCAATAAACACAATGTATATGTACTTTTGTTTCTGACATACACTTCTCTGCATATAGGTAAAATATAAGTGTTCATGAAGATTAAAGTAAAATGTTTGGGTGAAAAAATGGCAAATGGTTGATGAAATCAGTTGCTTAGTGAATTGTTCTTTATACATGGCAAAACAAATTTCAGATGTATGGGCACATACTTCAGTGGCTGGGGCAATCCTTGACACGCCGTCTAGTGAGGGATAAACGGTAAGAATAATGGTGAATAGTGTAGATTCTGTTCTAAACATCCAAATGGCACAAATTTAAAATCAGTGTAAATTCACAGTTGTTGTTTTGAGCATATATTTACCAGTGTTGTAACCAGAATTTTACCAAATTGAATGAGAACAGAGCAGTAGTTGAAATGTGATAAGGAAAAGTTTACATCTAAAGTATATTCACAGAAGAAACTTATCATTTGATTAGACATACAGATGAAATTGATACATTGAAAATTGCTCATAGTCTAAATTTCACATTAATGTCACTGACCACCTTTGATTCCTTTCAGTCGCCCTTACACTAAGTCAGTGACTCAGATCTTTACTGTGCCGGATGTTGATGCAAATCTCAGGGAACTTCCAATGGAGTACACACAGTAAGCACAGAAAATACAATTTATTATTCTATTTCTATCGGTGAAATACTGCATTTATTGGTTAAAATAAAACCTGCATCTTCACTGAGTTAGATATCAAAATCAAAAAGTAAACAGTGTGATGACGTAATGCGTATCACCAGTCAACAAGACGACTGACACAGTGAATGTACTGAATTTGCGAGTCATTGGTACGGTTTTCATAATATTCAGCAATAGGAAGAATAGAATAAATAGAACATTTGACTTTTCCTGTCGAACACTATGTTTATGTCATCTCGTCTAGTTGAAATTTAATTTAATTCTAAGTTTAATTTTTACACTTGCGGCTACGCCACTCACTCAATACAAACTAGTCAACTTCACTCAACAAGATAAACACTGTATTCGACAGGAAAAGTCAAATATCCTCTATACGTGTCTGTCTCCTTCAGTTAGAAAAACAAACATGTCTGTTACATTAAATTGTGTATTATGTGTACAGGTTTGTTTACTTGATTTCTGGTACATAGTTATAGGTACAATGTTGTTAGATAAATTATTATTAAACACTCACTGGAATGAATGCTAAACAGAAAAGAACCAATTTGGTGAAGGGAACAGAGATTCAGTCATATTTTGTTAGAATATCTCCAACATTGGAAAAACATTTAGTATTGTGAAAATGGAGACACCAAAGAATGAGATAATAGTCTTGTAAAGTAATAATCAACTACAATGTAACTAGTGAAGCCACTGAAAATAAATATATTCATTGTAATGGTAAAAAACTCATTCTTTGAAATTTTGGCAAATAAATGATTTCCAATTATTCCAGTTACAACTTACATTTATGAAACTGGAACTGGAGATATTTATTTTATTCTTAAAATTGAGTGTGGTTATAAATATGCTCTAATTTATTACAGGGCTGCATGGCACTACATTCTGTATGTGGCCATTAAGGAAGTAATCGTATTCCTTGCCGAGAAACTGACAGGGAGAACCTACTCTTCAATCAACCCAGAGTGTCAAAGGACAGAATTGCATCCAAAAGAGCTTTAATTGCATAATTATGATGCTCTTTTGAAAGGGTTACTGTTTTAATGAATGCAGCCAACTCATTGATGCCTTGATGTGGTTTGGTTGTTCGCTGTACCTTTCTTTCATTCACATAAGGACCAGTGAAGATTCCAGGGTAGAATAAGTCTTCAGCAACCCATGCTTGCCGTAAAAGGCGACTATGCTTGTCGTAAAAGGCGACTAACAGGATCGGGTGGTCAGGCTCGCTGACTTGGTTGATACATGTCATCGATCCCCAATCCGTAGATCAATGCTCATGATGTCAATCACTGGATTGTCTGGTCCCAACTTGATTATTTTACAGACCGCCATCATATAGCTGGAATATTGCTGAGTGTGGCGTTAAACAACAAACAAACAAACAAATTATTCACATATGTGTATAGAACATACCTCAGTCTCCTCCCATTGATATATATTTCAGTTGGATATAGTAAAACCCTGTTAGTGCAGATCATTGTGTGTGTTAAACTTATCCATGTTTATGAATTTCCAAACTATTTGATGTAGCATGTTTTGGTGAATCAATAATCGAAAAAAGAATGGGGGTATACTATAGAAACAGATCTTAACGGTTCTCCTTGTTACTTACCTGATCATAAAGAAAAGGCATGTGTATCATTAAAGCAGTAAACTAGTGCTTTTAGCAATTTCTTGATTTATTGAAAGTCTTTCTGTTGACATTGAAACAATTTGAACTTGGATTTAGATGGAGTAGGGTGTTGTTCAAGATTAAAATTTAAGAATTATGAGACATGTTTTCATGAAACATGCAGAATGATTAATCAGATAGTGGACAATTGTCTTTTGCTACTGAAAAATGTTTTAAAGTTTCAAGTTGTTACTTTTTCTGGAATAAAGTTGGAGTTACATTCAGTTGAGTTGAATTTCTTCACAAGAAGAAAGTATATTAATGATATCTTCAAAAAAAATTTGGAAAATGATCAGTCAGATATTGTTGATGTGACTTTGGATATGTTTGAATATAGGCAATTTTTTATAACTTTTTTTCAGTATGTAGATTCAGTGGGAAATGGATACTGCCTTTTATTCTTATTTATGAGATTGGTGATATATTGTGAGGCTGCAGGGGGATGTGTCATATTCTTATGACTCTTGTTATCAGTGTTTGTTTAATAACATTAGCAGTTTACATTGAATGTCAAAATAAACTTTGCTAAAATATATTTAGATGTAAATTTCCTAAAAGGTGTGATTTGATCATCATATGATCATCAGTTTGTTCATTTGAAAAGCATAGCAGTAACCATTTTCTGGTTATTACCAATAATTGTGGCCGATGTAATCATTGATTAATACTTACAATTGAGTAAACCTGTTCTTAAAAAAGTTACTGAATGTTAGTAAAACAAACACACTGGAAGTTCAGCATCAAATCTTGCATAGTTCTTGCGCTCAGATTGTAACATGTTTTTGCAGGTTGGTGTCCATATCAAAGTCTATAGAACTTGAAAACATTGTATCTGGTTTTAATGAATCAATTTACCAAGTCAAGATTGTCAGGTAGAGGTATTTTCTTGACTACAGGGGCTTCAATGTACATTGCCAATAACTGATATTGGACATCACATTGGCCTGAACATATTTATACTGTATGTGTTTATTCTGTGAAAAGTTGACTTTGTAACATGTATGTCCTTTGAAGTTAGTTAATGATTAGATTGTTTGCTTGTGATCTATTTTACAGAGTTGTCATGAATTTATTCACTTGGTTTCATTTTCTTCTACTGGGTCAAAACAGATAATATTTTTCTGTTATTTTAACTATATTATTCGAATAAAAATCAGGTAGAATTGTTTGAGAATACATTGCATACAATAGTAATACAAAATATTTAAAGATCAATGAATTTCTTTATGATGCAAAAATAGAGTTCATGTGTGAGTGAATGAATGGTTGTGAATGTTTGTTCATGTATTTGTCCTCTGTATTTAACAAAGACCAAAAACATTTCCACATTTATTTTTCTGCATGGGTCTCCAACTACCCTTTTTGTAACAGATGTTCTGCCACAATTAAATGTGAATTATAAACACAATCATGTGGAAGAATTTGTACCTCATCTACTTTTGTTTGAGCATGCATTATGTACATGAAATGTATTTATGGTTTCATTATGAGAAATAGAACTCTTCTTCAATGTATATTTTAAGTCAGATTTTTTGTTACAGAGTTAGTGTATGAATGAAAGTGAGGATTGAGTAAGGATTGTAATGAGTGCTTACTGGTATGTGAAGGACTCTTCTGTTGATATTTTATGTGAAGTAATAAAAATTATAATTGAAATTTGTCTTTGTTTCTTAAATGACATAGAAAGATAATCTATTGTAAGTCTCACACATCAGGTTGGATGTCCACATACATATATGCACAGCAGTGGCATGAATACATGTAGGTTTATTGCCTGATGGGTTAAAGAGCACATGTGCATGAAGTTTCAAATTTTAACTCACTTTCAATGACTTCTCAAAATTACCTGATTTGCTTATTTCAAAGGATATTATTTCATAAACTTTTTCCAAATTATTGAAAAAAAAGTGAGTGAGTGAGTGAGTTGGGTTTAAATGTGGCTTTCCAGAATATTTCACTGATCTCACGACGTCCAGATTTAATGTAGGAGAGCCAACACCACCATGGTGGTTAAGTGATGTAGTAAGACCTGGAGGACAATGCCGGTATCTGGCTGACAGAGGGTGTTATGCAGTATGCATTCGCAATGTAGCATTGCATCCTAATTTCACCACTGCTGCTGATGGGAATCAAACTCTGGATCTTCAGTGAGCGCCCTGATGAAACAAGTGGCTGAAGGCAGGCTCTCTAACCACTGAGCTAACCCATTCCCTCCACCCAATTGAAATATTGAACACATTGGCTTAAGTACAATATTGATGATTTCAAAGGATTTTACTTTTTCGTATGTACTATGGTGAAATACACATCATCAACTTAAGTCAACATCACAGATTAAGTTTTCAAATTTTGACTGAGTTTTAAGATTATTTTTTTTCCAAATTACTGAAACTGGACCAAATTGGCTAAAGTCCAATAATGAGGTGATTTCAAAGGATGTTATTTTTATTCTTTTTTCTATTTGTTTCTCGCCTTAAAATACATTGTAAGACTTAACTGCTCCATCATAAAATGAAATTTACAGGTTTACAGGTTTTTTCACAGTACTGAAATTGGACCAAATTGGCTAAAGTCCCATAAACAGATGATTTCCAAGAATATATTTTTCTCTTCTTTTATATGTATACCTTGCCTAAATACACATAACCAGACTTAACGGCAACATCCAAGATTTAATTTTCAAATTTTGACTGAATTTTACAAGTTTTTTTACAGTACTGAAATTGGACCAAATTGGCTAAAGTCCCATAAACTGATGATTTCCAAGAATATATTTTTCTCTTCTTTTATATGTATACCTTGCCTAAATACACATAACCAGACTTAACGGCAACATCCCAGAATGAATTTTCAAATTTTGACTGAATTTTACAAGTTTTTTTACAGTACTGAAATTGGACCAAATTGGCTAAAGTCCCATAAACAGATGATTTCCAAGAATATATTTTTCTCTTCTTTTATATGTATACCTTGCCTAAATACACATAACCAGACTTAATGGCAACATCCCAGAATGATTTTTTAAATTTGGACTAAAGTTTGAATTTGTTTTCACAGTACTGAAATTGGACCAAATTGGCTAAAGTCCCATAAACAGATGATTTCCAAGAATATATTTTTCTCTTCTTTTATATGTATACCTTGCCTAAATACACATAACCAGACTTCATGGCAACATTCCAGAATGAATTTTCAAATTTTGACTGAATTTTACAAGTTTTTTTACAGTACTGAAATTGGACCAAATTGGCTAAAGTCCCATAAACTGATGATTTCCAAGAATATAATTTTCTCTTCTTTTATATGTATACCTTGCCTAAATACACATAACCAGACTTAATGGCAACATCCCAGAATGAATTTTTAAATTTGGACTAAATTTTGAAGACTTTTTCACAGTACTGAAATTGGACCAAATTGGCTAAAGTCCCATAAACTGATGATTTCCAAGAATATATTTTTCTCTTCTTTTATATGTATACCTTGCCTAAATACACATAACCAGACTTAATGGCAACATCCAAGATTGCATTTTCAAATTTTGACTGAATTTTACAAGTTTTTTCACAGTACTGAAATTGGACCAAATTGGCTAAAGTCCCATAAACTGATGATTTCCAAGAATATATTTTTCTCTTCTTTTATATGTATACCTTGCCTAAATACACATAACCAGACTTAACGGCAACATCCCAGAATGAATTTTCAAATTTTGACTGAATTTTACAAGTTTTTTTACAGTACTGAAATTGGACCAAATTGGCTAAAGTCCCATAAACAGATGATTTCCAAGAATATATTTTTCTCTTCTTTTATATGTGTACCTTGCCTAAATACACATAACCAGACTTAATGGCAACATCCTAGAATGAATTTTTAAATTTGGACTAAATTTTGAAGACTTTTTCACAGTAGTGAAATTGGACCAAATTGGCTAAAGTCCCATAAACTGATGATTTCCAAGAATATATTTTTCTCTTCTTTTATATGTATACCTTGCCTAAATACACATAACCAGACTTAATGGCAACATCCCAGAATGAATTTTCAAATTTTGACTGAATTTTACAAGTTTTTTTACAGTACTGAAATTGGACCAAATTGGCTAAAGTCCCATAAACAGATGATTTCCAAGAATATATTTTTCTCTTCTTTTATATGTATACCTTGCCTAAATACACATAACCAGACTTAACGGCAACATCCCAGAATGAATTTTCAAATTTTGACTGAATTTTACAAGTTTTTTTACAGTACTGAAATTGGACCAAATTGGCTAAAGTCCCATAAACTGATGATTTCCAAGAATATATTTTTCTCTTCTTTTATATGTACACCTTGCCTAAATACACATAACCAGACTTAACGGCAACATCCCAGAATGAATTTTCAAATTTTGACTGAATTTTACAAGTTTTTTTACAGTAGTGAAATTGGACCAAATTGGCTAAAGTCCCATAAACTGATGATTTCCAAGAATATATTTTTCTCTTCTTTTATATGTATAACTTGCCTAAATACACATAACCAGACTTAATGGCAACATCCAAGAT